CAGCAGCTGCAGTGAGCGGCCGTCCAGAAGCCGGCGACTGATCTGCCTCGCCCGGGAAGAGCGCAATGATGGTGCCAACTTGGGCCAGTGAAGCGACATCCTCCACAACTAGACTGAAGAACAAAACGACAGAAACTTGTCTGTTCCCCTTCCCCCAATTCCCCAGCACTGCTCCCATCCCCCCAATTCCCCAATAAAAATGTTTAAAAAAAAATCCTGTTTCATCAGGACTAGATGCTTTGAAGGGAAGGGACAGCCCCTGGCTTCTGCCAGCCCCAGCCCAGCAGGGCCCCTGGTCAGAGCTCCAAAAGAGGCAGGCGGCCTGGAGAAGGACCTTTGACCGCACTTCTAAGACCTCCTGGGAGTGGGGCTGTGTTCTTGGCAGAGGGCAGGGGGTTGATTTCTGACAGTTCTAAGGGAGGGGCCTGGGAGGTGAGAAAACGTGCCTCCTTTCCAATCAACACACCCACCCCTTCCTCTCTGTCCCAAAGTTTCCATCAACCAGAAGCACTCATCAGGGAAGAGAAGAGGGTTTGGTCTAAAATTCCCGTTCGTGGGACTCATAAACAACCCCAAGAGGTAGGTGTTATCACCCTCATTTAGTGATCACAAATCGAGAATCAGGGAAGTAAAGCCACTAGCCCAAGGTCACACAGCTGGGAAGTAACCCAGTTGAGAGAAATAGGGTGAGCTTTTCTATTAATTCTCATTCATTCATTCATTCACTCACAGATATTTCATATGCTTCTGGCTTTGTTCTGGGTGTTAGGGATGTTGTGGTCCCTGCATTCAGAGTGTTTAGTTTAGTGGTAGAGTGAGATACGAGTAAACAAATGGCTGAATGAGTAAGAATGAAGAAAACCGTCAGAAAGCATAAAGCGGAGAATTAGAACAAGACCAGGAGAAGGGGAGTAAGGAAGGGTGGGAGTGGGTTGCTTCAGGTTGGGAGGGCAGGGACGTTTTCCTGAGGGAGTAACTGTCAGCTGAGCTCTGGATGGCAGAGGCCAGTCTTGCAAAGAGCCCAGGGAAATACCTTCCAGGAGAGGCCCCAAGGTGGGCGAGGCGTGGCTAGGAACCTAAAGGGAGAAATCAGGGAGGAATCCCTCAACTGGCCTTCTCAGCTTTGAGTTTTCACAAACTGTTTTAAAACCTCTTTTTTATTTTAAGTGAACAAAACAAAACAAAACAAAACAACAACAACAACAACCCCCCCCAAAAAAAACCCCAAAAAAACCAGAGGACCCCAAGCTAGAGAGAGCCAGTCAGGTCCTGACTGGGTTGTCTGGACTGCCCAGGGGTCAGGTTGGCTCTTGGCTGACCACGGTAGTGAACAAGGATGCAGGGACCCCAAGTGCGAATGCCCCCCATTGCCTCGCAAGGGGCACTGAGGGTGGGTGGTGGGGAGGACAGGAGCCCCAGCCCCACGTGCACATCACAATGATGGGGAGGCCGTGTGGAGGGAGCCTGGGTATTGGGAGCAGGGTCCAGCTGGAAACATAGGCCCACAGGCCCCTGAGCTGGGCCTCTACACCCCAGAGATGGAACCCTGGACCCAGGTGACCTGAGGATTGGGTCAGCCAACGGTGAGAAGGGGTTCTGTGTGGGACAAAGCACTCCAAATGGGAGGGTTTTATATGAGCACTAGTAGTGTTATCGGTATATTACTCACTACCCCCTTCTCCAGGTTCCCTGCCTTGCCACACCCAACTTCACCTCCCCATCTCTGGGTGTGGCTATCGTCCCCCCTAAGGGGCACCTAGGGCTGAGTCACCAACTATTCTAGTAAAGAGTGTGGGAAGTAGGGTGAGACATTGCCCTGGAGCCAGAGGGACCTGGGTTCGAATCCCAGCCCTGCCACTTATCAGCAGGTGACTCATCCTCGAGTTTCAGTTTTTGCAGCTGGAAAATGCAGGTGACAATACCAATGCCCCAAGGGAGTGAGAAGAGTGGGTGAGTGGGCACCGGAGTGAGAGGAGTGGGTGAGTGGGCACCGCAAGTGTTCAATGTCCCTTCTGCCCCTCCCCCACTGGGTGTCCCTTTGCAGAACCTGACCGGAAGGGAACAGGAAGGTCAGGGACTGTGTCCTTCTGTCTGCCTCCTACATCCAAGGATATGTGAGAGATGGGGGTGGAGGATGGAAGGTGCCTGAGTCTCTCCTTCATTTGTGCTTCTTACCCAATTCCAGCAATTGGAAACTGGCCCAGAATGAGGACGCACAGTGTGGGCGGATCTCCCCTTACTTCGGGACTCAGTCCTGGCTGCCCCGAGACCCACATCTGCCCGTCCCACCTCTTGGTCCAAAGTCCCATGTCTTTATCAACCTGGAATTATTAATTAATTAATTAATTCATTCATTCATTCTTCATTCATTCAACAAATACTATTGATACCTACTGTGTGATCACCGGGACCTACACTAGGTGTTAGTTCCCAGAGGGAGGCACTACAGGCACAACTTGCTCCTGACCCGCCTTGGGCTTGTCCACCCAACAACAATCCTATCAGCAACCCCAACAGCCCCCATTCCAGCAGCTACCCACCCCCACCCTCCTCTTCCCTCAGAGACATTGACCCTGTCCCTTCTTAGGGGTAAATAAATCCTAAGAATCTCAACCAACCTGGGTAATCTCATTGAGGCCACCATGGTTACGAGTGGCCAGTCCTGAGGGGGAGGTCTGCTGGGTGGCGAAGGTAGGGCTTATTAAAATGAGACACAGAAGAGGCGGCATTTTCTCTGTTGGATGTCATCCTGTCCTGGCTTGAGGTCTGCATCATGGCTGCCATCTTGGAACTGGGAGGACAGGAGACAAAGCCAACACAGTGAGGATGGCCAGCCAAGAGCAGGAGAGAAACCAGGGGCTGATGGCATCATTAAGCCACTAAAGAGCCACCTTTCCCCTGGACTTGTTGTCATGTGAGGTCGTAAATGGCCCCATTGTTGAAGCCCCGTGAGTCAGGTTTTTTGGCTGGAAGTTTCCTGACCGGTACAAATGGGATGTGGTGCCAGGGAACAGAGTGAGAAGAGTCTGGGGTGGGATCCTGGCTCTGCTTTTGCTGGTCGTGGGACTTGAGAAAGGTCCTGTCCCCATTTTGGGCCTCAGGTTGCTTAATTTTAAAATGAGAATAAATGACCATACCTGCCAACACTGATATTGTCAAAGTCGCAGGGCCTAAAACATGGGAGCTCTGATGGATGAGTAGGGTTGCCGGCTCCTGACTATGTGTCTCGAGTAAATGGATGTCATACATCAAGATGTGATTGACAGAGCTTGCACAGTCATATAGAAGACAGAGAAAAACTGGGCGGGAAGAGGGGAACATTGAGGAACTATTTTCTCCTGATTTATCTTGAAGGCGACCAGATTTAGTCACCACGTAACAACAACAATAACAATAATAATACAGTTAACATTTAAAGAGGGATTACCATGTCAGGCACGTTGCTAAGAGCTTCACATGCATTAATCTTGTTTAATACACTGACCTCATCTAATTTTCTTCTTTGTTTCATTTATACATCCCACACAAGGACACTGAGGGAGATTCCTCATCTAAGGTCAGTGGTATAATTAGAATTTGACTTCAGCACCCATAGTTCCTATTATACCGCCTGGCACGAGCCCCTGTACTTTATGTAGAAGGAAAACTGCTCCACCAGCTGACTGACATACGTGTGTCGCAGGCTGGAGGGTGTGGGTGACTCCAGGCCCTCCAACCCTATTGCTGTAGACATGGCTAATCACATATAAATGACAGATTCTGGATCCTTATATGAAAAAATTATCCATCCATCACCAATTCATCCATCATTCATCCGTCCATCCATCTATCCATCACCCATCCATGCATCCATCCATGCATCCATCCATCATTCATCCATCCATCCCTCCATCCATCCACCCATCCACCTATCCACCCATCCATCATCCATCCATCCGTCCATCCATCCAGTCATCCATCTACCATCCATCCATCCATCCATCCATCAATCCTTCCAGTCATCCATCTACCATCCATCCGTCCGTCCATCCATCCATCCATCCATCCATCCGTCCATCCATCCATCCAAAGTCAGTTTCCCTAGAAGCCAAGTCTGAGACTATGATTCTTGTGTAAGTGAAGGGTTTATTGAGGGAGTGCTCTTAGGAGAAACCTGTAAGGGAACAAGGAAAACAGGCCAGGCCAGGGGACAAAGCAAGCAAAGAGGTGGTTCCAGATGTCTACCCTCAGCCTGATCCCGGGAGGAGCTCTGGGGCATGCAAGGTACCACTCAGATGGTCCTGCACAGAGGCAGGGGCGGCAATTGTACCCTGCATGGTATTGTATTCCCTAGTCCTATCAGTTAGAATGGGCAAGGTGGGGGTTTGAGGGTAAGCAGTGTAGCTCCCAGCAGACAAGGGCAGTCCTAAACAGAATGAGGGTGAGTGGGCACTGCAAGTATTCAATGTCCCTTCTGCCCCTCCCCCATAAGCATTAATTGAGGTGGGGGAGCAGACGAAACAAAGATGAGGCAAACACAGCCTGCATTTTCTGGAAGTTCCAGTCTAGTTGGGGGAGATCAGAGAAGTTCAGACAATGGTACATCACTCAAGATGAAGTTTGGTAAATTGCAGACCCATAAAGTGCTACGAAGGGCTTGGAGCTCGGAGGAGGGAGTGAGGCCTTGGAGCTGGGGAGGAATCAGCCCGGAGAGAGCTCTGCAGGAAGTAGTCCTTGGACCCGGAGGAGACTGGGGAGGGCTTAGCCACCTGGAGATGACAGGTGGAGCATTTCTGCAGAAAGCCCAGCCTGAGCAAACATCTGGGTCAGGAAAGAGAGTGCCTGGAGGACACGTGGCATGTGCTTGTGGGTCTGGAGCAAGGGGAAGGGCCTTCGTCTAGCCCTTTACGCAAGAGGTATACACGGAGCCCCTTCTTGGCACTGCTTTGGGCGCTGGAGATGCAAATGAGTCCAACGCAGGCATGGGCCCTGCCTGACAGGACCTCCAAGGTTAGTGGGAGAGGGACGTAGCACCAGGAGTGTAGGTCCCAAACTCCTAACCTAGGGCACTGGGGGGCCTTGGGGTTTTAAGGAGTAGAGTCACATGGACAGAAAGATCAAACTGCCCCGTGGAGAGGCCGCTCAAGCTGCAACTTGGATAGTGTATTAGAGGGGTGAAACTGGGGCAGGGAGGCCTTGTGAGTGAGTGACGGTGGCAGAGGGAACCTGCCACACCTTCTTCCCTAGGCGCCCACCCCTAACGCCTGCTGGTTTGGAGCAAACACTATCTCTGGGAGATCCCTGTCCTTGGATTTTCCTAAGATCTCAATCCGCCCTCAGAGGAGGTCGCTGCTGCCTCAGTTGGGAAGATTTAGAAGGTCCAAGGGGCAAGATGGGTGGCTGGGGTGAGGCTGAGACCCTCCCTCCTTTTGGGAGTGTGTTAAAGGAGCCAGGCTGGTTCAGGGGGTTAGCTACAACTGAGGTGGGGGTGTCAGAAACCCTGCCAGACTTCAAAAGACCAGGGTAGGGGCTGTTGTACATTCAGAGCAGGCTTCTCCTAGCACATAGGGGTCTGGCCTTTGCAGCGGGACCTCGAAAACAAACGGATGTAACGCTGCTTCTTCTTGTAGGTGCCCAGGTTCCGCTGCAGGCAGAAAGCCACCTCCTTGTCACAGGCGCACAGTTCCTGCTCACACCAGCTCCCAGTGTCAGCTGTGGGCAGAGGAGGGGGTAGTTTAGTGTTTGTCCCTTCCTGAGGCAGAGCCAGGGGTGGGCCTTGGTTCCCTGGAGGGAGCCTCTGAGGGCAGTGCCGTCCTCGCTAAGCCTTAGGGCGCCCTTCCCAACTACGTTGACTCAAGGTGCATGACCTTGGGCATTTCAATGACTTCCCACCTTCCCGTGTGGCATTGGGCCATCATTTATTATTTTAATCATTCATTCATTCACTCACTCTTTCATTCATTCATCCATTCTATGAACAACTGAGCACCTAGCCTATGGCAGGCCCTGGGGAGACAGGACTGAGCAGCAGACCTGTGAAGTTCACACTCTGTGGGGGCAGCAAATATCTGAGAACCACAGGAATGAATAGTACAAACTGTGCTACGTGGAAAGAAGCAATGATGCTGGGGGCTGCTGAACAGTAAAGCTGTGGGACGAGAGGCATTTGAGCTGAGGTTGGAAGGGTCTGTCCTCCTTATGGAAAGCCAGGGTGGAGGAGGGGCAGTGTTCCAGGCAGATGGAACAGCACGTGCAAAGACTCTGAGGCAGGAGGGACCATGGTGCTTCAGTTTCAACAACGTCTGCATTAAAATGGGGATGAAAATAAAATGCTGCCTCAGGGGCAGTTGTGAGAATTAAGTACAGAGGCAAACACTCAGCAAAGAGGAAGTGGTCAGGAAATGTTGGCTATTACAGTTGTTTTTATTATTAAGCCCTTAATTAACAGGGACTGCTGTGAGGCTGCCATCCGATTGCCAGCCCCGGGACCTGCCACCTTTCGCCATGCATGAACCCAGGGGCCAGGTGCCCGGGAATCCAACCCAGGCTCTACCATTTGCAGCTGTGTGACCCCAGGAAACAACTTCTTCACTCTAGTCTCAGTTTCCTTGTCTGTAAAGTGGAGGTGACCAGGGTGGGGCTGCCTCTTGGCTGGGCCGCTCAGAGATGCAATAATGATGAAGGTAGTAACAATGATAACGGCAGCCCATGTGATTTATGGAGCCAGCGTT